TCACTAGACGAACCTTTTCACGTGTTGAAAGGTCACTTCAACCCAGCACCATTGGAAATGGCAGCGACAATTCGGTTCTGGTCGATATTACAGAAACCGGGTGAGACCATAGCTGAGTACGCTAGAGCTTTGCGTCACTTGTCCGTGCACTGTAACTTTAACGATTTCTGGGAAAAAGCACTAAGAGATCGGTTTTGCACTGGTTTGAACATGCAAAATGCTAACATTAAGAAGTTTGGCAACATGAAAGCTACAGAAGTATACTTCGAAAGGGCAGTGCAGATTTCATCAACTATGGAAATGGTTGATAAGGAATTCATGGAGAGTACCCAGCCAACAGCTAACGCCGTGTGTAGGGTTCAAGCACACCCAGTTAAGGAAAACCGGCGAGTACCAAGTAGCAGTAGTAGTGGGGGAAAACGCACAACATGGAGAAGTGTTGGCGTTGCCATGGCAAGCATTCAGCTCACACATGCAAGTTTAAGGATGAGAAGTGTTTCTCATGCTCAAAGAATGGGCATATCAGCAAAACGTGTCGCCACAAGCCAAAAGCAGCAGTGAGGGCGGTGACAGAAGACGCTAGACAGGACTCTGATCAGTCGGACTACCTGAAGGTGTACCATGTATGCAGTGTCGGCGCAACGCATGCAAGTCGTCGCATATAGGTACCGATAAGGATTCAGAACAAGGTGATCAATATGCAAGTAGATACTGCAGCGGATGTGTCCATCATTACAGAGGACTTGTATTACACACACTTCATACATATTGATGTGAAACTAGTGGATATTGTGCTGAAGGCCTACAATGGTCAGCCAGTACCGTTACTGGGTAGGATAACCGTGCATGTGGTCTATGGTGATCAACGATTGAAGCTGCCATTGATCGTAGCAAGGGGCAAAGGCACAAACCGCCCTTGCTAAGAGTAGCCTGGCTACAAGAGCTACAGTTGAACTGGAGGAGTATCTTTATGCTGTCAAGCTCAGCAAAAGCTAGTAAAGTGACAGACCTCCAGAGCAAGTATAAGGGCTTGTTCACAGATGGGTATGGCAAGATTATGCACTATAAGGCGCACATCAGAGTGGAGGAGGTCTCAACTCCAGTGTATTGTAAGGCACGTCCTGTCCCGTACGCCCTCAAGCCAGCTGTAGAAGCTGAGCTTACCAGGTTAGAACGAAATGACATCATAGAGAAGATCGATCACAGTGACTGGGCTGCTCCCTTTGTGTTAGTGCCCAAAGGCAATGGTTCTGTGAGAATCTGTGGTGACTACAACGTGACTGTGAATCAAGCTGTAGCACAGGAGCAATATCCTCTGCCCACTGCAAAGGATTTGTTTGCAACGCTAGCAGAAGGAAGTCTTCACAAAGATCGACCTGTCAGCTGCATATGCACAGTTGAAACTAGATGAGGAGAGTCAGACGTTTCTTGTAATAAACACAGAAGGGACTGTATAAGTTCAAGCGTCTTGTATATGGAGTCAAAAGTGCACCCATTATTTTTCAAGCCGTCAAGGACCAGATGATTCAGGGTGCGGAAGGTGTCATCTGTTCCCAGGACGATGTGTGGATAAAGGGTACAGGGAAAGATGGAGCACACACTGAAGACCTAGAACTGGTGGAGAAGGTGCTTCAGCGGTTGACCGACCATGGGGTGAAGGCGAAGGTGTCCAAGTGTCAGTTCTTGGAGCCCAAGGTTGTGTATCTTGGTCATGTGGTTGACAAGGATGCCCTTCATCCTACAAATGAAAAGGTCAAGGCCATCAGGGATGCGCCTGTCCCCAGGAGTGTGCAAGAACTGAAGTCCTTTATTGGTCTCGTGAACTACTACGGATCATTCTTGAAAAACATGTCCACGACTCTCGCACCACTGAACAAACTACGTCAAAAGGATGAACAATGGGTGTGGTCAGACAGTTGTCAGAGAGCATTCGTGGAGTGCAAGAAGCAGTTGAGCAGCGACAGTGTGCTCACTCACTATGATGTGAATCGCAAGCTCAAGCTTGATTGTGACGCATCACCGAATGGGGTAGGTGCTGTCATCAGTCACATCATGGATGATGGGTCAGAGACTTATAGCATTCGCATCGAGAACACTGAGTAAAAGTGAAAAGAACTATGCGCAGATTCAGAAAGAAGCACTAAGTATTGTGTTTAGGGTAAAGAAATTTCACCAGTATCTCTATGGAAGGAAATGGACACTAGTAACTGATCACAAACCACTGGTGTCGATCCTAGGTCCAAAATCTGGGATCCCCACACTAGCAGCAGCAAGAATGCAGCGTTCGGCTATTATTCTATCTACGTATGACTACAACATCGATTATCGCAAGTCAGTGGAGCATGCTAATGCAGACTGTATGTCAAGACAGCCACATGAAGACTCCAGTGTCGGATGTGACAGTCGTGTCTATGCATGTGAGGTAGCAAGGGAATTGTCTGTAACAGCAACTATGATAGCAGAGGCTACACGGAGGGGCTCTGTGCACAGCCGTGTTCTGGATTACATGATGAGTGGCTGGCCAGAATACTTGCATTCAGAGCCACTGAAGCCACATCATGTCAGGAGACATGAGTTATCAGTAGAACAGGGATGTATTCTCTGGGGAAATGGTGTCATTATTCCAGGACTGCTTCGAGATAGACTTCTAAAGGACTTACACTGGGAACATCCAGGAATATCTACGATAAAGGCCATAGCAAGAAGCTATGTATGGTGGCCTAGCTTAGACCGAGAGATAGAGTGCACTGTGAAAGAATACAGTACGTGCCAGGCTGTACGTAACACACCACCCGTGGCACTGTTGTACCAATGGAGATGGCCAGTGAGACCATGGAGTCGCATACACTTGGATTTCTTCTTCAAGGAAGGGAAAACGTTATTGATTGTGTACGACGCGTACTCCAAGTGGATAGAGGTATGCCCCATGTCGTCTACTGATGCCGAACATACGATTGATGAACTCAGGGTAGTCATTGCGGCATACGGATTGTCGGAGGAAGTCGTGTCAGATAATGGCCCTCAGTATATCTCAGAGACATTCAAGGACTTTCTACGTCGGAATGGTATAAAGCAAACGTTGGTGCCGCCATACCATCCACAATCAAATGGCGCTGCAGAGAACTCTGTGAAAATGGTGAAACGTGTGTTAGAAAAGCACATGCTTGAAGGCAAGGTTAAGAGGCTGTCAGTCAAGCACAGGCTAGCAAACTTCCTATGCTTCCTGCGCTATCGCTCTACACCACATTCGACTACAGGGCGAACACCTGCAGAGCTGTTCCTTAAACGTCAGATGCGTACGCGTTTGAGTTTAGTTAAGCCCAACTTAGCCGAAGTTGTGGAAAGGAAGCAAGAACAGCAGAAACGTCACCATGACAGAGCACCAGAATGCGCATTTCAGTGTCATGACCGTGTTCGTGTTAGAAACATGTTAGGGAGGAAGACAGATAAGTGGCTTCCTGGATCAGTTGTGAAGGTATTAGGTCCACGAAGATACCTTGTGCAGACCGATAAAGGCCTGAGGCATATACATGTTGATCACGTGATTCCAGCGCTGGATCAGGTTGTGGGGGGCTTGTCGTCCTTTGTACCATGGATGCCCGGAGAAAATCGGTTAGTGCTAAATGGCAACGTCAATGGGATGCGTCTGAGACAGGAAGACGGTTATATGGGTTTATACCATCAATCACTCATTACACCACCACTGACCATCCAAACAGACTGTTATATACCAAGATTGCACGCTTAAGATCAGGCTACATCGGTCTGCGAAAATACCTACATCAGGTAGGAGTTAGTGATGACCCAATATGTGACGTGTGTCGTGTCACCGAGACTGTACCTCACTACCTACTAGAATGTGCTAAGTTTGAGGAGGAACGTGGACTCCTTCAGCATAAGTTTTTCAAAGAGTGTGGGGTCAGAATTGTGTGTGGACCCTGAGGATAGACTAAATGAGCTGGAGGATAGAACTGAGATCACTAGGCTCCTGGGTGAGTTCGTTACCCAGACCACCCACATTTAACCCAGCGCCACCTACCAGTTTTTACTAGTTTTTAAATATACATGTGTTATTACTATGAGACATTGCCATACAAGTGCTATATACAAGAGGCCAACACACCTCTAAGAAGCTTCGATCAAGGATCAAGGAAGTTTATATTCATATAGCCTGGATTCAAACAACCAACCCTCAGAATTAATTTCTATATACATTATATTCTATATATATTATATATACGCAAAATCGTGTTGGCTTCTACGTTACTCTAAAAATGCATAGGCTTTAACAAATAGTGGCACCAATAATGCAACACAATAGGCCTACCGTAAACTAGGGCTACTTTGAGCACTGGGGCTATTTTGATCATTTTTTTAAATATAGACGTGTAACACAGAGATGATATAGACGTGTGTGCTATAGCCATACGGTTTGAGGTAGACCGATTAAGTTTGGATCTGAGAGAGACGTGCGGCCAGAGAAATGGCCGAAGTTTGTGTTTGAGAGACGTGTGGCTGGAGAATAGGAGGAAAAAGAAGCCGAAGAAGAGAAGCAGCAGAAGAAGCAAGAAGAAGGTGTGCAAGTAGAAGATGCTGAAAAAGTGAAGCAGAAGAAGAAGCGGGAGGAGAAGAAGAGGGAGAAGAAGAAGAAACCGAAGGAGAAGAGAAGCAGAAGAAGCTGAAGAAACAAGGAGAACCTAATCTGCGGTATTGCTGTAATGTTTGTTAATCAGTTGTTAATCATTTATTAAGCAGTGTCTAGCTTTTCTTAATATTGTAACTGATGGTTATGCGGTGGCCAACTTTTAACTGTTATATTGTTTAGTAAACTTTCAAGGTATAAAACATTTCTGTCTACAGCATATGCGTGCGCCTACTTACTAGCTCTAGCATCAACTCGTGACAACCGGTATTCCGACCTTAGCTGCTGCCCGAATGCAGCGTTGGGCAGTGATCCAGCAAGCCTATTAGTAGACTGTGTTCTATCGCCAATCCGAGGATAATGCAAACGCAGATGCATTATCGTGCCTTCCATGCCATGAGCCTGTAGAATGCGAAGATGTCGAGGCAGCAGAGACATTCTTTTTATCCAGCCTAGAGGAGCTGCCAATCAGCGCAAAGGACATTGCAAAACGCCCTAGTAGACACTGAGTTGAGCACAGTTCGTCACTATATCAAGAATGGTTGGCCTGGATATTTGAAGCCTGGAGAATCTGAACCCTTATTTCTTGAGGAGAGATGAACTGTCTACCTTGCAAAATTGCGTAATGTGGGGTATGCGTGTGGTCATTCCTACGGGAATTCGGACCAGGCTCCTTCAAGAATTACACGAGGGACACCAAGGAATTGTGTCAACCAAGTTTATCGCGCGAAGTCACATGTGGTGGCCCGTACTCAATCAGGACATTGAACAGTTAATAAAAGGGTGACCCATTTGCCAAGCAGTCAGGAAGAGCCCTCCAGTGGTACCGCTTCATCCCTGTAAGTGGCCTACTCGCGTTTTTCAGTGATTTTCATGTTGATTTTGTGGAGAAAAGTGACTATTTCTTCATACTAGTGGACAGACACTCAAAATGTATCGAAGTAGCACACGTGCGCTCGACTACTACAGTATTCTGTATACTGTATTGTCTATACAGCAGAGAAAACCATTGAGGTTTTGAGATCTTGGTTCTTGCGGTATAAACTACCTGAAACATTGTGTTCTGAAATCGGACCGCGATTCATAGCAGAAGAGTTTGCACTTTTCTTGAAATGAAACGGTATATGCCATATTTTTGTTCCACCCTATCACCCAGCTGCATTCGGACTTTCAATGAGCCAAGACATTTTTCAGCAAAGGATGAACACAATCCTTGCACAGGTGTCTGGCTGTGTCGGAATCGCTGACGATGTTGCTGTCTTTGGCAGACCCGAGCAAGAGCATGATGCTAATCTGTGGAGATTGTTGGAAGTCGCAGGGAAGGAAGGTTTCGTGTTCAACAGCACAAAGTATGTGATCAAGACAAGAAGCATAAAGATGTTTGAAACAGAGTATGGTTTCAAGCATACTACATCATCGCCAGGCTACCCACAGTCGAATGGGACAGCAGAGAAAGCAGTACAGGTAGACAAGAACATATTGAAGAAATGTAGAGAAAGCAAGACTGATCCATATCTTGCCATGCTCCTCTACAGAAATACTCCAGGAGACGGGTTTCCTTCACCAGCCCAGATCCTGATGGGTAGAAGAACAGCAACTACCCTTCCAACAACGAGGTCACTGCTGAAACCTGAAAACCAGCCAGATGTTACAGAGAGTGAGAAAGATCAAAGAAAAACAGAAGCAGTTCTTTGATCGAGGAGCGAAGCAACTACCAGCTCTGAAAGCTGGCAACAGAGTGATGATGCAGACTGATGGTGAAGCAAAGTGGAAACCAGCAGAGGTGGTCGTCATAGATGTCAACCCTCGATTATACATCATCGAAGCAGAGGGACCTGAAGGAATCTACCAACGAAATCGCAGGCATCTAAAGAAGGTGCCACCCCAGAATCATCAAGCGACACCTCATCAAGTACCTGAGGTGGACGACAACGACGACCATGACCAGCAGTGTGACCCTCCACAGCAGTGTCACTACCCACTCAGGCAGAGGAGACCACCAGACCGCCTGAATTTGTAAATAGCGCTGATGGAAGGATAGACTTAGTACTAGCCCGTAAAGATTTGATAGTTGATAGTTGAAACAGAAAAAAAAACATGATTTCTTTGAATAATTTAAATATTAAACAAATGCATGGAAAATTGGATCTTGTTTGGAAAAAGTATTTTAAACATTATTGGGTAAAATAATGGTGTTTTTGTTTAGTTATTTCTTTTGTAATGGGAAAAGTCATAATTTGGTAATTTTTGTCCTAAAAGAAGAGGGATGTAATGAGTACAGTGCCATCTATTGTCACATATACCATTTATACATTGCCAAATGTGATAAAAGAGCATTCTTGTTATGGTGATCTGTGCATGACTAAGAAACCTGGGTTCCAGATAATAAAGACGATGTAAGTCTCTGTAAATCTACAGGTTTGATTCAGTTATTAGTTGTAACACTAGTATGACATACAAACAAAGTACAGTCCTCTTAACCTACCAGGGACAGTTGAGGAAAGGACAGGGCCGGTGTCTTGTACAGTTAGGGTTGAGGATGGTAGACTGTTTAGAAAGCACTTTGATCAGGTTTTCAGACAGGTCAAGCCAGATTCTCATGATTCTGGTGTTGATCTGGGTGAACATTTTCTGTCTTCGGTTGTTGCATGCTCAGATGCCTACGGCTAGTTGCCTGAGACGCGCGAGACTGTCTGTGCTCCCATCGGGAAGACTAGGTCACAGATTCCCACTGAAGTTACTTGTAACTTGTGTCGCTCAGAGAGGGTTCGCAAACCCGTGGTAAAGTTGGATTTGTAAAGCGGTAATGTGCTCTACACATGAGTTGAGTGAGAGACTAGCGACAGTGTTGAAGGTTCCGAGTTAAAAGTGAGAGACTAGAGACAGTGTTGAAGGTTCCGAGGTAATAGTAAGAGACTAGAGACAGTGTTGAAGTTGTGACAGAGTTGGAGTTTATTATAGTTTTCAGAATTAAGGTTAAATATACACTTAAAAGGGTGTTTCCCAGAGTTAAAGTATTTTAGTCGAGTTAACTTAGCATTGCTGCAATGTTGAAGTTATTCTGCTCGGTTATAAATTTGGTGGAAATTAACTTGCGTCTTCCCCAGGTGTGAAGGGGTGTGAAATATTCATGGTTAGTAATTCATGGTATTACTGACACCGTCAGGTGTTTCGCTCTAGCGGTAATAATTGGTACTAACACGTGTATGTGCAAAGCGTTATGGTATTCTGCACTGTATTCCAAAATGGCTGCACAATAATAAATCTTGTTTGTAAAAGTTTACAAGTGGTTTCCTCTCCCTTCTTCGACTACACTACAGTAAAGACAAGAGTTGGGCTGGTGTGACCGATTTGACATGCACGTGGGAGACTGTTGGCATGCTATGTGGCTGCATGTTGGGATAGGATGCCGGCGACAATAGGCTGTTGCATATGATTAGAGAGTAGTCACCCTCTACGTCAAATTGTCATAACATTTACTAGAGTACTGAATATAACAAAAGATTTTTAAACATGTGCCACAAAGCGATAATTAAACAAGTGATACCTAGTTAATAACCGTACCCCGTATATCATCGTTTCAAACATGTAGTATGGTCTTGAGCTTGGGAAACAAACGAAGCGCATTAGCTGTTGTTGCCTCCATCACAGTTGCTGTGGATACACCTTTGATCTTCGCAATTTGCTCACAGGAGAGCCTGATGTTTACAGGAACATTCCTTCTCTACTCAGAGGAGAAAGAATGTGGAATGACACCGATTACAAATATTATAGTACGCACCTGAAAAATTAGGCATAACATATAATAAACATGTTACTTGATTTGATTAATCATTGCTATAAATAATATTAACTGCACAAATGCATATTACATTATATCAGAAGTAGATAATAGGAAAGGAGTGTAAATTCGTCATTTACTAGCCTTAGAATACCTACGATTTACTACGCGTAACTCAAATCGTTCATAGTACATTCGCCTAGCATCGTGCGAAATCGTTTCCTTGTATACACCCGCAATCCGGAGATACAGACTAAAACGTACGACACGATTCTCCATTCTGTTGCCAGCAAACCGAATCCATAACCCGCCTAACTTGAAACAATAGGCAGCTACTAACGACTCTTGCGCACTCTTGTGCCCTCGGCGATGCGGTGTGGCTCGCTGGGAGACTGGACATCGACTCAACACTCGGCGAGCTAATCTTTGACCTATTTACAGCTGGTATGACCCCCACGCACGCACGCCCACCGCAATCAGCAGCAGCTCCAGCTCAAATCTCCCAGCGAGCCACACCGCAACGCCGAGGGCACAAGAGTGCAGAGTCGTTAGTAGCTGCCTATTGTTTCAAGTTAGGCGGGTAAGAATTCAGTTTGCTGGCAATAGAATGGAGAATCGTGTCGTACGTTTTAGTCTGTATCTCCGGATTGCGGGTGTATACGAGGAAACGATTTCGCACGATGCTAGGCAAATGTACTGTGTACGATTTGAGCTCAAGTTGGTTGAGTTACGCGTAGTAAATCATAGGTATTCTAAGGCTAGTAAATGACAAATTTCCCATGTTTATTGAAGTGACACTCCTTCCCTATTATCTACTTCTGATTATATGCATGCATAGATGCAAAGACAAATATTTTTGTCCTGACTCTCAAGTGACATTCACATAAACCATGCACGAGAAAGCATTCAGGTTCCAAGCCAGAATCTCGACCGAATCATCTTCTGTTTCTCATAAGCAACACAAACAGGTAAAACCCTTCCAACGGCAAACATTCATTTCACTAATGGACAAAGGTTACTCACACCATCGCATGCTCACCTGTTTCTCAGGTCCGAGTGCAGGTGAATCGGTTTCCAGAAGTAGATTTTCAAGCGGAATCTTATGGACAAGCTTCTGTTTCTGAGACCATATAGCAAAATGACAACATCAATACAGTACGTGGGATGTGGGGGAGGCAATGTGGGTAAGGTGGGACAGAGCAGAATGTGGGACGACAAGGTTCAGAATTAATGTGTACGACAAAGTATCAGCATGCAATGTCATGGGTAAATGAATGAGAAGGAACTTGCATCATTAGCTGAAAATGGTAGTTTCAGATCTTGTGTACCGGTACACAGTTCGCAAGTTGCCCTTGTATTGGCACCATTTTCACAATTTATGTAAATGGATAACGAATTTAGCCACGTACAAAGAAACCTTGCACATCTCAGTTGATATCCTATAGCATATTATTTTATAAAGGTTGCAAAACTTAGTTACCAACTTTTGAATTTAAGAATACATATTCAAGCCAATTGTAATGTTCATATTATGTCTGTACAAACACCCATATCAAGCAATAGAATTTTTAACATATTGACCGATTTTGTTCTTCCAATGTTTTTGCAATTTAATTAACTTTCCACACAAATAGGGACACATCTTACATATCATTGACTCCTAATACCTTTCCTAACCCTGTTAGTCCCAGTACCAGTGGCTGTGGCTACTGTCGTGTTCAGGATACCAGCTCAACACGGATTAATAACAAAACTCCTTTATTCACCAAACAAAACAAAACCAAGCTACGTAATTTCGGTTGCACTGTTGGTCTCCGCAATGCTACTCTGCTACTATGGTGTAGTAAGAAGACCAAATTTTGACAAATGACATCACTGATCAGCGCTCCAAGCGGCGATGGAAAATGATAGGCAAAAAGCAGAAGCGAGCTTAGGCTCGGGAGACTTGTTCAACTCGATTTCTACATGCCAGTAACGTCTGGATGAGCCAATATCCAATATCCATTTGAATCCAATATCTCAGCCTAACAGTGTCATAAAGACAAATGGTTGCTCTTGTTTTAGAGAGGAAAGGATGCTTCTTGCTGGAATACTATCAACTAATTCTAGCCTTGCATTTAAAATAAAATAGTTTTGCCGTAAAATTGCATTATTTTCCCTTATTCCCGTTAAACACTCTGTATTATTAGCCACTAATAATATAGATGACATGTAGCAACATAATATATAGATTGGCCTGGTCATGTGTATTGGATACACTATCTGACACTGCTTTTTAAACTACAAAAGACTATTCTATTCATACACTGTGGTATGTGATCTATGCTCTATAATTAACTTCAAAATGCTAAACAAGAAAATGCAAGGATCGTAATCACTTGCTAAATCATTAAATTAGATATATCAAACTCCGGCAGCCTTGGTAACACATTAGACTGCTGCACTCCAATTACTTATAACTAATATATCGTTGGGCTAACTTGGCACCCTTCCTTGGTCTAACCCACACTTACACCAATTATACACTTTTGCGTCATGAACATAACATATGCAAGCACTGACTTGTGCTTACAATGAATCATAAAAACCCCAAACCTTGTCTCATACACTGATTTCACCTATGTTTGTGTGGACATGGTGTGTGTGTGTGTGTGTTGTGTGTTCACATCTGCTCTTAATATCTGATTGGCTTACGGATTGTATGGCCAAACCTGGTGGTGATTTGATCTGAGTATGTTTTCGTGTCTCGATCACTGTAATTGTTGTGATCGCTTTCCACCTTGGATGTGTCTGTGCAGAGATTGCTACTGGAGCTGTTGTGAACAGGTGGTGTGACATCATCAGCAAAGTGTACACTTTTGGCAGCTGTCTGTGTGCTACTGGGTGTATTGCGGGTGGGAATCTCCCTCAGATGTGACCTGTTTCTTCTTAGTATACTGCCGTTGGGTGTGGAAACTTCGTATGACCTTGGCTCGTCACACACCCGTGTAACCTGAGCCGGCATCCATGTGTGATCATTCGGGTTCAGAGTTCTGACCTTCTGGCCGACCGACAGTTGTTGCAGTTCTTGTCCAGCATGTTTGTCATGATCTGTCTTCATCTTCTCCCGTCGTTGTTGTAGTTGATCATGTGCATTGCTCATCTGGTGTCTGCTGTGACGACCTGGGAGCGTCGTCTTTACCCGTCGTCCAAAGAGCATTTCGGCAGGGGAGGGTAAGTCGGACTGAGGAGTCGCTCGAAGGTGCAGAAGTGCTTTCTAGACATCTTCTCCCGTCTCTCTGCATTTCTTGATCAGCGACTTCACAGTGCGAACCATCCATTCTGCAAGTCCATTCGAACGAGGGTATCGTGGTGATGAGGTAATGTGCTTTATGTTCCATGATTCACATAGATCTTTGAAGGCTGTGCTGTGCCACTAAACTGGGGGCCATTGTCCGATACCACCTCAGCGGGGACTCCAGGCATGCTGAATGTTTCCTTCATCACTGTAGCGACTGAAGCGCTTGAGGTGCTATGCATCTTTCGAATGACAAGTCTGTAGCAAGTTTCGTCCAGGGGAATATCATGTGGTTCCAGTGGTTCCCTATGTTGCTGAACCTGGTTTTTCTGGCATGTATGGCATGTCTTAACAACGTCCACGATGTTTATATTGATGCCTGGCCAGTATACCGTATCCCTGGCTAGTCTAGAGTTCTCTCTATGCCCATATGACTGGTGTGTAGCTGGTCCAAGATGTCTGACTGAAGTGATGGGGGTATTACCACTTGTCTTCCTTTGAAGATGAACCCGTTTGCAATTCCCAGTTCATCTCTGTACGACCAGTACACTCTCAGATTGCTTGAAACTTGCTTCATTACGTCTGGCCAACCCTCCTGAATGATGCTACTCAACAGCTTCAGTCGGGTCACTTGCTGTTTCTCTCTGCAGCTGTGTCTGTTTGGTAGGCGTGAAGCTTGCTATATCAGGGTCATATCTGTCATCCACTTCCATGACTTCATCGACGTGAAATTCAATGGAAACATTGCCTTTCTTCTTGGGGTTCGGTAACCTGCTTAGAGTGTCTGGGAGTGTCATCTCACTTCCACGTTTGTACAGTACATTGCAGTCATATCCTTGAATCCTGACAAGGAGTCTCTGTAGCCTTGGCGGTGCACTCCTAAGTGGTTTTCTACAAACCATCTCGAGTGGTTTGTGGTCGGTGTGGACAGTGAACTTGTTACCGAACAGGTAGATATGGAAACGTGTAATTCCAAATACAAGTGCTAATGTCTCATGCTCAATGTTTGAGTGGTTGGATTGCGCATTTGACAAGCTCTTTGAAGCAAAAGCGACAGTTTTTCCATTCTGAAGGAGGCAAGCACCTAGTCCCTTGAGTGATGCGTCAACTTCTAGTACTGTCGGAATACTTGGGTCATAGTACTGTAAGCATGCTCCTTCTGCGATTTCTGACTTCAAACGCAGGAAGATTTCCTCGTGGTCTTCCTGCCAGATAAAGGGCACATCCTTTTTCAGCAAGTCTCGTAGTATTGCTGACTTCTCAGCGTAGTTAGAGATGTATGGCGAAAGATACGTCATCATACCCAGGACTCTTTGCAGTTCGTCCTTGTTCTGTGGGGTAGGCATCTCTCTGACATCTTCTAGTTTGCTAGAATCTGGGCATATGCCTTCGCCTGTGTACAGGGAGCCGAAGAAGTTTATGCTTCTTGCCTTGATCACACATTTTGTGCTATTGAACATGAGACCTTCCTTCCTTGCGACTTCCACCAAAACCTCCACAGATTAGTATTGTGCTCTTGCTCGGTTCTGCCAAAGACAGCGACATCAGCAATTCCGACGCATCCATGCAGCTGTGCAAGGATTGTGTCCATCCTTTGCTGAAAGATGTCTTGGCTGACTGAGAGTCCGAATGGCAGTCTGCGAAAACAGTACCTTCCAAAAGGCAACCTGAAGGTGGTGAGCTCCTGCGATTCTTCGTCCAAGTGCACCGAGCAATAACCTGCTTTGGCGTCTAGTTTTGAGAAGTATTTTGCCTCCGAAAATGCAGGATTGAGTTCCTCTAGAGTCGGAACCTTATGGGGGCATCTCTTGAGACTCTGGTTAAGTCTTCGTGGGTCGAGGCAGATTCTTATCGATCCATCCTTCTTCAATACTGTGGTGATAGAACTGCACCAATCAGTGTGGTGTTCAACCTTTCTGATAATGCCATTTCTTTCCATCTGATCCGGTTCCTTCTTGAGCTTGTCCCTCAAATGGACGCTGCATTTACGAGGTGGGTCTATTGATGGCATTGCATCATCCTTCAAGTGCAACGTTGCTTTACCGCTAAAGTTCCCAATCTGGTCAAATTTGTCTGGGTATGCTTGTTGTAGGTCCTTGATTGACCTTATGGGGTGGTGAGCAGCTTGCTTGCCCTTGCCAATCTGCTGTTGCACTCCATAGATGGTGACAACATCTAGTTTCTTGCATGTATGAGCAACTATGACTGGTCCCTTGACGTCTACCACGTACCACACTTGGTCTTCCCAAGGTAATCCCTTGTACTTGCATGCCATCGTAAGGGTGCCCAAACAGCGTATTGGTGTGCCATTATATGCAGTCAGCTGTGTATATGTGGGACAGATGATATATTTCCACCGATCACTGTACATGTCCTTCAGTGTCTGCAATGGGAGCACATTACTGCTTGCTCCTGTGTCAATTTTTGCACTGAGACGATGTTGTCCTCTTATGCCCGGACATACGATATTCATGTTTGTATATGCCTCGTCATGCCTCGGGGCTATCGAATCCATAGTATCCATTTGTATCATATGGAACTGACTTTCAGTACGCTCTGCCTGGTGTACGGCTTCTGTGTCCAGCTCATCAACCTGACGTTGATTCTTATGCTGTGATACTGTAGGCTTGTACTGCCTATATCTAGAATGTACCCTTCGGCGGTCTTGTGACTGGTCCTGTCTCCCTCGTGAGGGTGGACATCTGCGATGTGGGAACGGGTCTTTTGCTCCTCGACACATTTTTGCCCAGTGTCCTTTTTTACCGCAGGCATTACATATATCTTTGAAGGCTGGGCACTGCCTTTGAGGGTGTAGGAGACCACAGTTCCTACACTGCCCCCGACTGTCATGACTAACAGCATCCACATCTCCGCTTGTTTCTGGGGCGTGGAGTATCTGCAGACATCACTTACCACCCAGGATTGCTTCATACTTGTGGCCTTCTTCAAACAGATGATCTATTGAGAATCCTTTCTCTTTGTCGAGTAGGTCCTTCTAGAAGGGTTCTATCTGTGTGGACGAGACGACTAACTCAATGAGCCTCTCGCTCAATTCACCCTCCGCGAAATCACACTCCTTTGCTTTACTACGACATCTACTGACAAACTCATCTATCGACTCATTGGCTTTCTGCCTATACCGCATCAGCTCAAGCCTGTGGATCCTGAAGTTGACCGAGACACTTAACTGGCCATCGACTAAGGTCCATAACTTGCTTGGTATTGACTGATTGGCTTCGGAAAGACCGGATGCATTTATTCTTCGTAGGCCTTCATTGCCCAATGCGATCTTGAGTTTTATAGCCTGTTTTGTGAGGTCTGTTACCTCATTATCAAGAAGGCTATATAGGCCATATAGCTCCATTCGCTGCCTAAATAATTTGAACTCATCGGCGACATTGGGAGCAGCCCAGTTCATCTCGGGATAACGAGCCATGCTTGCAGGAACTTTGTATGTTGTATTATTGCATCCTATCTATACATGTATGTAGATACACACATCGCTTGATGTGTACACAGTGTTATTAATAAACACGAACGCACAGCATATAACATCAGGCACACATTATATACGGCGCTAACATAGCATACATACAGCACTACATACATCACTAATACACATACCATACCTATTAGCCTATACATATAGCGCTAATATACACCATAAAGCACGCATTTCGCTTAATTCGGTCTATATATGCGTTGAGTCTATTTATAGACTTGCCTAGTCGCGGTTTTGTTACATCATTTAGCATGCTGCTTGCATACAAATATTCTAATGTTTCTCATTTTATTGCCTGTGTTGCTCCGACCCAATAGGCTATATGTACATTAACAATACCTATTACCATTCTGAATATAACTCTAGGGTCTATGGCTGTGCTGTGCTGTCTTGTTTTCTCCTCCGCATTGGTAGGTGTTGACACTTGCTCTTCCTGGCAGATGTCTTGGACGAGTCCTAGCTATGTAGCTGTTGTCTACGGCGCATTTTCTTCTAATGGTCTTACCACTACGGCATTGTGCGCGTCGGCTTACTCAAGTTAATCACTGCCATGAAGGTGTCGCCATACAGTTTTCTGATGTAACAGTCTTGATAGCCGTGAACTTCGTCACTGACTTGTTGCTCGATCTCTCCTCTATCTGTTCATTCTGCTCCACTCCGAGCTGCACATGATTTCCCACCTTTTTTATAGTCGTTCGCTTGCTGTGGAACGTAGGCTGTTAGAGGCTCTAAAACTCATCAAATTCAGTCTTGCAAATTCTGTAATCTAGCCTGCCTGATATCTCATCGTTCATTCCATCACGGGCACAGTGGATTCGTAAATCCCACCGCTGCCACCATGTTGTATGTGGTTGTGTTCGTGATGAACACAAATAAATCAAACACAAATATACAGAAGAGCGTGAATTTATTCCAGCGTCTCTCGTCTCTCCTCTGATCGTATGCTTTGTTTCATGACCGCTTTACCTCGTAACACACACGCGTAGTAATGTAGTCCCTATCACTAAACTACACTCCAAATAAAATATAGTTGGGAATGGGAAGATCAATAGAGAGAGGAGGCTTGAGATGCAAAGCTTTGGAGGCGGACCCACCTGCTCACTCCGTACGATGGAGGGTGGTACAGAGAAGAAGTAGCCGAGCTGAAGTCCCTGCATAGCCACCTTCACACTGCCATCAAATGCATGCAGAAGCACATGCTCAGCTCCTACACTTGTAAGTAGTTAAAACATAATATTGCAAGCACATTCACCTGTATACTAGGAGTATAAAAATATATTGAACTATTGATTAATTGCACTAGTGTTTGGCTAGATAGCAATGCATCGATAGCAAAGTAAAATATTTGTAACTATCGCTGATCGTTTACTGACCAATTGATACAGTTTTTGATAGTTACAACACTAACACCCCAGGTTAGTTTATTTACGACTAAATATTTTCACACATTAATGTGCCTGAAAACCATTACCAACACATCCATCACTATTATAAATAATTATACTAGTCCCTGGTTATCTGCGAATAGTCAATCCTACTGTATAGCAATCAAGATGCTTCTGAAATTGGTGCAATACCATTTATTATGCAAAGATTTCATGTATTTTTTCAATTTCTTAAAATATTTAATTCACCACGTTTTAATACATAATTGGGTTGCGTCCAGAACTCGATAACATAGCCAACATTCAAATTGGTTATTCTGAAGTAATTTATAAATGACTGTAAAATGCAAGCATTTTGCATACTGGAATGCTGATTCATTTACAATACACATGAAAGTACCCAACACACACAAGAGGCCAGCACGTACCTTCTTCCCTTAGAATTTCAATTGTTGGCCGGCCGGCAGATCGAGAATGGACATTTCTGAAATTGCATCCACTAACAATTATTCTAGGATCGAATAGTTGTTTGTTTTATCATAGATTTCACAATATAATTAATGTTGAATTAGAAATTAATTTAAAGCTTTACACATTTATTAGATTTTGTTGAAAATGTTATATGCTACTGCTTATTTACACTGGTAAGCCCAAGCCCTTTGCTAGTTGAATTTGATTCCTGAAAACCTGTCTCTGTTCATCTCTTTCTTCGTGTGTACCACATATCCATGGGGTAAAATCTAATCCAATCTACAGAAAGAGAACAGAAAGAGAATGCGCATAAAGAAAAAGAAGAAAACTAATAAGAAAATAAAGCAGAAAAACTATGAAATTATCTGCAAGCATAATAAGGTTTGAGGAAGTACTTACAGGAAACAAATATATTATACGTAAAATGATGAAATAAGATTCAATTAGTACTAGTAGCTATATACATTCCCAGTCAGTATTGCGTACCTCTCCTATCGCAGCTAGTTTATCCGAATTCATCCCCATCACCTTTAGAGCCGGTTCAAGATCCTGCCACAATCAAAGTAATACAAGGCTCAATTGAACAGTTGCATATTCCTAATTTCATTAGTATTTGCTATGCACATTAGATTTTCCTTCTGTTATCTGTATGTATATCGCTTTCTGTGATTTCCATGGTAAAGCAGATGGTGTCATATGTATTAGTTTTATATCTTACCTGTAGATTAGCCCCTCTCATTGGCTGCAGCAATGAGTCTGGATTCGCTGGAGCTTCCTGGGCAGGATGCACACCGAGGCAGGGGAGAAGAATTTTTGGATATCTTCGTCAAGTAAACACATACAATTAGTGAGATTTACACTTGACGAAAGCCTTCACTGTACTTATGTGATGCTGCCTATTATGCTATCATCATGGCCATGCATGGCCTCAGTATAATTCTACGATTTCAAATATGCATAATATAATATATCATAAAGCTTCAAAAACCTCAAATAAAATATAGTATAATTGTGGCATAAGCACATATAAATCTAAATGCACATTATGCAATTTACAAATAGGCCTACGTACTTACGTTTCACAGAGTTTCAGAATTCGGCTGAAATCATGAAAACTTTCCGCACAGACAAGACAGGCTTTAACTCCAAGCTAAAAATTGCGTAAACATATTTAGCTTATAACCCCTAAAAAAACATTCTGAATTTTGCATTGCCTTGCCACTTCTGTATCTCCATACATGAAACGCATAAAAATAACAGATCAAGAAACCATCTAGTATGATCATATTCAATCACAAAAAGATGCACCAATTAGACCTCTATGTAAACTATGTTGTTTGCCCAGATCAAAAAGGCGTTTGTGTGAGTTTATTGCACTCCTAGATAAATGCCAATATTACAAGCCTACAAGCATATACAATCTATACATGCTAAATAGTGCTACCTACATACCTGAGATGCATCTGTAAGAACTGCATCGATATCCTGTTGAAGGAAAATCAAAATGAAATATAAGTAAATAGTCTCTAAGATGAATCAGTTTTACAAGCGAGTCTGTTACTTAGATCACTGTGGCCTTTAGAATTACTCTAATCAGTAGTGATCATCTTAGTTGTCATATTATACATTAACCTTACATTACCTTAATTGCCACCATGACAGCCAGGCACAAGAACTTATCAAATATTAGTCTGACTGAAAACATTTCTGTGGCTGTACTGATCGACTCTGCAAACATATAATTAGAATCATGACATTTTAGCTCCCAATTAAAATGTGCTTTTGTAATTCTACTCTTATACTAGACAGTCAGTGAAACAACTTTTAACTCTGTAAATATGTATACAGGCATCGAAATAAGCACCGGCCCACCGGCATATGCCATCAAATTATTTGGAGGGCCGGTAACATTGGAAAAACGCCGGCCCTCCGAGCCGGTGGTTTCAGCCGTGTTAGCGAGTATATAATATATATACCTACAGTTTTATTTATAGCATTAATGAACAAATAGCCTACATTACTGTTTTACCTGAAGGATATCACACCATTATTGCTGATAGGGTCTATGTCTCCCAGGGTACTGCCGGAACGTACCCTGGTAACTATCTAGCTGATATGGTTAGGGTTAGTGTTAGGGTTAGGGTTAGGGTTAGAGTTAGGGTTAGGGTTAGGGAGTAAGCGTAGGCGACTCCCTAGACTCGTTAGTGGAGTAGGCGAGGTACGGTCCTGCATATTAGATAGTAGTATTTAGTACCAGGGTACATTCCGGTATACCGGACCAAACCCAGGGTACGTTCCGGCAGTACCCTGGGGCACATAGACCCTATCAGCGCCATTATTTATCAACATATTTTACAAATTTGAAATCGAGAATGCAAGTCTGAAACATGATATAGATTTGATAAACAAAATTTGTGGGGGCTGGTAAAAAACTATTTATTAGGTAAATAAAGAATTTCGTACCCTGTGTATACATATATATATATATATATATATCAGGAGATATATATGTGAGGGAGAGATGGCACTTATAGCAAGTTCCCCCAAAATTTGTCAATGTCAATGGCTGGAAACAGCCATAGCTGCAGGGCCAGATTTAAAGGAATACTTTACTCTAGAATTTGAAAGTATATATTATAATAGTAGATTTATAAATAATAGCACATACCTATAAATATCTATAATTACGCATTCACATTTGTCATAAAACAACATTGAATTTCGAAATCTTCATTTTTCGGTGCTGACATGACACCCGCGACCGTGCTGCCACCCTCAAAAAGTTGACAGCTGGAGCGTCAGTTTACTCGCCAAGATTCATACACATCGTTCCTCCGCGGGTGAATTAGTTCAGATATTTTACCAGCGCAGCGTTTATTTAAAACAAGTGCCGCAGAGCGACACCGCTCAACTGACGTGTACTCTGTACCAGGTATTCTTCTGACTAACTCACTGGCAACCGAATCAAGTGCGCCTCCTGCCACCGCGTTAGTGCTCAGAGCATATATAATCTAGGATACTATCTAATAACCAGATCTA